TTGGCGTCTGCAAGCGCGGCGAGGTGTACCTGAACGCGGGGCACACGGCGCAGGTGACGGGCGGGCTCAGTGGCAGTCAGTTTCTCCGGACCGTGCCTGCGATCGACGAGTACCAGGGCGGGATCGTGCAGGCGAGCGCGCCATGGGACGTGCTCGGCGTCACGCAGTGCTACAACTACAACTTTGAGACGAATCTCGGCATGCTGCTGCAGATCCAGGGCGTCGTGACCATGATTTGGAAGTGCGACTCGCTCATGATGACCAACTCGATCGTGCTCTGGCTGACGATCATGTACCTTGTCATCGTGCAGAGCATTTTTCTGCGGCGCAGCGTGGTGTGTATCGTGCCCGTCTACCTTTCTAAGAACGTCGTCGGTCTTGCGATCCTTTTCGTCTGCTTCTGGGGCAACGGCAATCTCCAAGTGCTCACGACCTTTCTCATTCAAAACCCAATCGGTACCTTTAACGCATCGTTTTACGCGCTGCTGGGGCCTGTCCAAGTCGCGTCCATCGTCGGCATCATGACGGGGACGCTGATCCAGATCTGGTTCATGCCTCGCTTGGTGACGCAGACGTGGCTGATCCTCATCATCAGTGTCACCAACTGGATTCTGGTCTTTTCGCTGGAAGCGTTTGTGTTTCCATACCGCAACCAGAACCTCCCAACCTCTTGCGGACTGCCCACGTCGACGAGCTGCTTCACGTACAGTGCGATTCGTCGCACATACTACCTCTCGGCCATCATCTCGGGCGTCGTCGTACTGATCGGTATCGCTGTCATTTGGCTCCACGGACGCTGGCTGCCGGATGACATCCGTGTCCCGAAATCGCACTCGCTGCGCGAGTACCTCAACATACCGCATCTTCGGGTGCTCGCGACGTCGCTCCGCGGCTGCTGCATCGCGTACAAGGATGACGTCCTCGTCGACGACGGCCTCTTGATCATGAAGAACGTTCTGCGCATCTCGGCGACGTGCATGACGCGGCTCAACAACGTGCAGTACGAAATCATCTACCGGTACCTACCGCGGATCGCCAAGCCGTTTTTTAGCAAGCAAGTGGGTACGTTCCTCGTCTTCCACGTGAAAGAAGAGACGGGGCGTATTACCCACCGCTCCAGCTACAAATGGCTCGCCGACGTTGGCATTGACGATGGATCGATGGCCCATTGGCGTGCGGGTTTCCATTTTTGATGAACGAGCGATGACCTTTGCTTCGACTGGTTTCGAATTGTCGCGTCGTACGTAGCTGTCTGCCCCCACAAAGACGCTCTCACCGGGGGCTTCAACGCGAGTTAATGGACTGCTCGCCATCGCAAAGGCACAACGTTGCGGGCCTTCGCATGGCGCTGTACTGTCCGGTATTTCAGCCATTTAGCGCAACGTCCTCGCTCACAACAGTGAGAGTGTAGCAACTAGAGCTATGGTCATTTCAGAGTCGGCGCCAAGTGCACAACGTGGTATACATAGAGCGTAGTCTAGCTGCAGACTACAAGGAGATAGAGAAGCAGCGTGCAACTGATATCTCTGCGATCTGGATGACATGGTGATCCCTACCAAGGGTACATAGCTTTAGGTACACAATTTATGTACCCTCGTGCTAGCCTGTTGTGGCTCAACCACCTTGCGATACCCGAGCCCGAAGTCGAACAAGCTTGTAGTCGTTATCTCGAGTTGTTACATCGCCTGCCGTTCGTTTGAGCAAAACCGCAGGTAAACCGCCATCCCTTTCTAGCAAGGCCACAACCACATGCGTCCAAGATCCGAGCCCACCAACAACACGCACTTCCGTCCAAAGCAGCTACTCGTTTCAACCACACCACCCATAGCTCTGCGTGGGCAGCTCCGCTTTCGTGTTAGCTTGCATGAGACATTGGCAACACATCATGGAGGCCGTGTCCATTTTTCTCTGGACGAGTTCAAATGTAGCAATCCATGAAGAAGCCTGAGAGAGCGCGGAGCATCTCAGCGAGTCGTCACGCACGAGTCGCACGAGAAGGTTATCTCGTTACAACCGGCGCCAACGCACCCTCCACACGCGTCTGCTATAGGACCTTTTCGTCTCACAACCTCTATATTGTCGTCGTTTTGAATCTAACGCATTGCTTTTCCCAGCGTCGATATCACAAATAGATCATGTCAAAAAAAGATCTCAAAATGCCGTGCGGTGATTGGTTCGATCGAGCCCGCCATGTTGGTCGTTGGCGCTGGTCGTTGCAGCTAGTTGCTCGATTTGGAGTCAGTCAACCACTTGCCTCGGATGAGTGACTCCAAGAAAGACAGCGGGGTCGTCACGCCCACCGATGTATCGCCCGAGTCCAAGGTTGAGTCCAAGGTTGAGTCCAAGACCCAGTCCAAGACACTGTCCAAGACGTCCATCTCCAAAGCGTCCACATCCAGCATGAAAATGGTTGAAGCGATCCAAGCCAAAACTCCGTTTGGA